TGGTTTACATGCACAAAAATGTGATAAATGTATGAATTTTGAAAAGTAAATCATATTATGTCATTATTTTCTATAAATTAAATAAAATCTATATAAAAAATAAAGGAGTATTACGCAGAACTATTTATTTATTTTTTCATGAAAAAACTTTTGCATGAAACTTGTATAAACTTCAATGAATATAGATAATAATAATTTTATTGAGTAGAGTGAAACTAAATAAAAATGCAATAAAGAAACAAACACTTTGAATTGTTTTAGTAATAATAAGTAATAAGAAAATGAAATACACATATTGTTTAAAAGCAGCTATCTCTGCAATATATTAACTTAAGTTTTATCCCATTCAGTTATTACATCATCCAGACAGGAAGTGATTTTTTTTAATCATTTATTTTACACATTTTTTCATGTTTTGGAAAGAATTCAGTTCTAAAGTGTAAATATACGAGGGTAGGCTGAAAAGTAATGCACACATGCTTGTAGAGCACAAACGAAATGATTTTCAGAAGCGTGCCAGGTGGCATATGGAAGTAACATTCCCCCTCTATGTGCATGCGCAGTTTGAGGTTGTTGCGTTCATTCAGTATATTTTGAGAAGCGGAAATATGGAGACATGTTCTAGTGCTATGTCAATGCGAGTTAAACAGCGTGCTGTTATCAAATTTTTAACTGCTGAAAAATTACATTTAAAGGCTGTTTATGGTGACAATGCTGTTGATAGGTCTATTGTAAATTGATGGATAATAAAATTTCGTAAATGCGAACCTGGAAAAGCCACAATTGTTGATGAAACACGCAGTGGAAGTCCGATCACTGCCACAGACAATTACCATTGCACCTTGTTCCAATGTTTATTTCTTCTCAGTACATACATACTCTAAAACACCTCCGACGTTGAGTTTGACATGTTAGAGGCAGCCTGGCACCTCTAACTATCTTGCAACATGACAATGCTCGTCCACACACCTCGCGCGCAACTGGAGAGGCTCTGTGAAACCTGAAGTTTGAACCGATTCCACACCCTCCTTATTCCCCCGATCTTGCGCCTTGTGATTGTAATTTGTTTCCTCTACTTAAGAGAGACCTCAAGGGTAATCATTACACCTGACGATGAGGTGAAAGCAGCTGACAAGTCCTGGATTCGAGAAAAGTTAGAAGAATTTTTCAGTGATGGAATGAAAAAACTTGTTACACGTTGGAGAAATTTGTTAGCCTTAATGGTGACTATGTTGAAAAATAAATATATGATTTTGAAGCTTAAGAATTGTACTTTAATGTACTTTTTGCCTGATATTGCTATTTGTTTTTGTTCATGTTCTACAAGCATATGTGCATTACTTTTCAGCCTGCCCTCGTATGTGGACTTTTAATTAATTATTTAAAAAATTTTCTCAAAACTTAAAAAAAAAAAAAAAATTAAGTACTAATATACTCCCAGAAATTTCAGTTCGCACGTGAGAAATTTTGCATCACAGATTTTGATTTTGATTGATTTTGACATGATCACTTAAAAATGTTGCCCACTTCTGTAAGAGAATAATTTATTACTTACCCCAAGCCATAAACAAACAGTTTCTGTTGGAGGAATTTTAGCTTTAACATAAACTTGATCTGAAAGCAAAAACTGTGTTTCTACTGGACTTGTTGAATTCTATAATAATAAATTTAATAAAAAAAAATTAATCACTACATTTAAGTACATTATATAATTTAAAAAATCATAGATTCAAATAACTATTAAATTACAGTAATTTGATGCATATAATTTGTGTATCGTCTGCACAAAATTATATTAATATCAATTTAAAAGTGGATATGGTTTATATGCCAATTTTAAACTGCAATTACAAATTTTAACTTTTCCTTTGTCTAAAGTCACTAACAGTATGTATCTTTAGAAAATATGAAAAATCACTTGTGCGCCACAAGCACATTCTTTGCTACCACGAAGTCTTTCCAAGAACTATCAAAGACATACTTTAGTTCTCTCCTAATCATTTTTCTTTAAGTTCAATTCTTGTTTTAATAGACATTATTAAACATTCAGACTTGAATTTCTTTCTTAAAAGCTGATAAATTTCCAGTAACAGGTGTGAAGTGTTTCTGTACAAGACTTTAGTTTACATTTTTCAGCAGCACTTTATGTGATTGATCAGTTGATCCATGGTTTTTTTTTCTTCCACTCCTTTTCATATATGACTGCCTTGTGAACTGCCCAAAAATTCTCCATTGGTCTAATTTCTAGCATACTTACAGGACTGCCTTCTTTTCAATGAAGGTCATGCTTTCTTGTTACAAGTAATTTGATATAGTTTTAAATCATACTACCAAGACTGATAACTAGCAGAAACAAAAAACTTTTACCTTAACTAACATTTTCTTCTGTTTATAACTGACATCATCAGGTTTAACTAATGAAACTTAAATGGATGAACAAAAAATTAAAAATTAAAATCTTAGAACAGAACATTCTAAAAAAAACATTAGTTTTTTGTTTTTGCTGGTTTTTGCTGGCCAAATCAAAACTTTGTCCTCAAATTCCTTTTTCTTGGTAAATTTTCCTCAGCAGATATAAGTGATATAAATTTCACCATTACCACTGATTATCAAGTGCAAGAGGGTGAAGTAAGATTCATTATCCAAAATGAAGAACTTTCAGAACCTCCTGCACTTCATCTTTGCCAGTGCTCCTTGCATGTCCATTCTATCCAGAATTACTTGCTTTTTTTATATTTAAAACATATTTTTGTTTTAAAAGCCTCATGTTGGCTCTCCACTTAGTGTGATTGCATCACCGTCACTTGATGATTCATAGAGAGACACAATTGCTGCCCTATGTGCCTACACACTTTATGCAAAATGGAAAATGATTTCCAATGAATTATGAAAATTTTTTAAAATGACACAAAACTTTCAACTTAAAATAAAGTTTTATATTTTTCAACTTAATTTTGTATTTAATTTTTTAAAATCTAATATTTGCTATTTTTTTGCACTTTTTTGAAATTTCCACACTATGCTGTATATAGTTCTAAGGATGATGGGTAAAAATGTGATGTCACATACACTTGGAATTATGGATGCTGCATGTTGATTGGTTGCAACAGAATCGCCAGGTGAAAATATACATTGTCCCAGTATTCTGTTGCCAAAGTACTTGAAAGCGATTCTATCTGGAAGGCGATTTTCTTGTGCATGAGCAGTGACAAAGGTGATTGAATTGCTTCAAAAAATTTCGGAGAAAAAATACAACATGGAATAGGTTAACTAGGATGCTAATTTATTGGGATATGTACTGAAAGACAGAAACAAAAAGGATAATGTAAGGCAAATTTACTTCACTTATTTGGAACAGTCTATCACTTTATCAAGACAGCATATGCAGTAAAGTGTTAATGGGCCAATGTTCAAAACCAAATTAGAAGAGTTAGCTACAAAGATGGGTCACATAAATTTCAAAGCTACACATGGTTATTACAATGGAAAACCGAACATGAAATAAAATTTAAGAGAACATGGTGAAAAACAGTGCTGATACTACAAGTACTGAACAATGATAATCAACTAAGTTGCTTGAATTGTTGCAGAAATTTAGTCCTGATCAAATCTACAATGCAGACAAAACAGGGCTGTTTACCACTAAAGCCCTCAATTGATCTAAAATTAAAATGATGTATTAAGTTAACTTTTTCAAATTATAAGACATTTTTGTATCTACACAATAAAAAACATTAACAATTAGATATAAAATAACCAAAAATCTTAGTTACAAAATTATGAATATTTACAGTATGCATTTTACAAAAATATGTGTAAAATTTCATTTAAAACTCATCAAGTAAGATTATTAAAATCAAAATATAGTTTTAGTAAAAAACTTTTACCTTTTTACTTTTCATCAACTTCAATATATCAAGTGATATTTTGATATCAGGGATTTGTTTCTTTAATCTACCAAAATTGCAAAAAAATTGTCCACATGTAAACAAAACTCAACAGTATTTAAGAATTCACATAATATCAAAATGTTTTCAACTTATCAAATATAAAGTTACCTTTTCTTTTTTTGTAAAAGATTACATTCTAAAAATTTATATTTGCTATGTTGTTCATCAAGTCTTCTTAAAACAAATTCAGCACTACCACGACTTTCTTCTCTTTTCATATACTTGTCAACATCATCCTATTCAAAATAATAATACATAAAAATTTAATCTGATATGATTCAGCTATCTGTACAATTATAATTAACATTTTATGATAGCCTTAACATTAAGGATAATATCTATTTGAATTTTGAGATTAACTTTTCATTTAAAAATACTGATAAATGTTTTAAGATATCAAATCTCTAGTGATGCATTAAACCACAGGCAAAAAAGACATTTGCTTAAGGCCCCAATTTTAGGGCATTTCAAAATTTTTTTAATGAATTAATCAACAAAAAAACACATTAATATTGAAAAGTATGACTACTTAAAAATTAAAAATGTATTTGATTATTATCCAAATGTAATTTGTTAAAAAATATATTTTACATATAGGATATCCTATATTTAAATATAGGATGTATGATGGGATAGATTCCATAGTTTATTTTGCCTAGGACTCTAGAGATCCATATTGTATCAATATCTTTCATAATGCATAAAGCACTGTCTTCTAATATATTAAGTTTAAATATACAGGAATACACTAATTAGCTTTGTCATAAGACACATTTACAATAAATCAAAATTGTAAATTTTATCTTTCTTCCCATTTTACCAACTACCTCACATATCTTTTTCTTTTATAATTTATTGGGCTACAGTTTTCAAATTGCAGACCTATAGATTCCCACTGTCATTTGCCTGTCTGTCATTCCTTAATCTTGAGAACAGAATTAGATAAATGAATATCTAGACCAGATATGAAAAGCTTAAGAGCCAGAGGCCCTAATTACTACATACAAACTTCCAGTTTGGACTGGAAGTCATGTGATGTATTAAAATATGATTAAAAATTACAGTTTAACATTGTGATGATGTCAATGCCAGGCTACAATTTTGTTTGCCAACAAAATCTAGTTACTGTTAAATTCCTATAAGGAAGCTTAGTATCATCTAAGTACTTTCAAGACCAAACTCATGATGAATCTGAAAATGGCTTAGAGCCTATTAAGCAGAAAGAGTAAAAGAAAATCTGATTTTGAATATTTGAATATGAAAACTTATATTCAAAACAAGAATTCTGAGCTAAGAATATTTCTTGAAAACACTGTTAAAAAATAGTATTCAATTANTCAATAATTACTCTTAAGGCTATATATATATATATATATATATAATCATGTTGGACATTTCCAAATTAGAGAATAGAGTTGTGTAAAGTCTTGTTTCCACAGTATTCAAAAAAAAAAAAAAAGCAAAAAATCAGAAATAGAAATTGCTTTGTAAACGAACTAAGAGAAAATACACCAGAATGAATTTTTTAAGCAATCAATTAGCTTGATTTTATTGATGCTAATCCAAATGTTTAATTGCAAAAATAAATACTAAATCAAATTAATTTTAATTTGTAACTCAATAATTTGGCAATTAGATATTTGTTTTAAAATTAATAAAATCAAACTGGGTGACTGCTTCTGTATGTGTATGTACTGTATATGTATACATATACACACTTTCTTTTGTGTGCACTACATAAACATCTAAAATTTTGAAAAACGCATTTATCTAAAATTATCTTTGGCTTTCTTAATGCTATATTGATATTTTTATCAATGTACTAATGTATAGTCGTAGGTATAGTACAATATACTACACTGACATGTGAGAAGATATAACGTGTACAAACCAAACTGACAATGAATTAAATCTAAACACCACATAGATCCTTAAATATTGAAATGAGGATAAGACAGTATTTTTGTTAAAATATATCTCATATAAGTAATGCCGTGAACAATAAATTTTTTCTCGCTATTGACCTACTACAACCACTGCTACAGAAAAGCAAAATACAGTAGTTCCACAAATGAAACAGATGTAAAATAAAGTTAATAAAATTATTATTATTATTTGTATACTATGAGTATATTATAGTGTTATCAATTTGCACTGTTGAAAAACGTAATCAGAACCAATAAACTGTCTAAATTAAATAGTAAATGCTTATTTAAAATTAATCTTAGGGAAAATAGAAAATGAATCTCTATATATTCAAAATTTTGGTGTCTTGTTTTAAGTCACTAAATAACTAATAACCATTCATAAATAATATAATTCAGGTTTAAAAAGCAGACTTTATTTTTAATATTTTATAAGTTAATAATATGAATACTTAAATTCCTTAATTAAAAAGCAACAGTTTTTTTGATGTCACATGAAACATTTATATATAATACTAAAATTGCAACTGTAATATACAATTGAATTTGTAGTTATTAATAAAACAGCATAGGAATAAATTTAATTGACAGAATATTTTTAAATAGATAAATTTTATTCATTTCTTTTAGTGTAGAAAAGTAAAATTTTTTTTTAAATTTTATTTTAAACTGAACTGGATGAGACAGCCTTTTCTCTCTCCGCTTGTCTTCTCTTCACATCCCAATTGTAGACTCTAGCCATATCTATTAATGCTGTTAAAGACTAGAATTATCATTAAAAAACTTATTATGAATAAAAGTAGATTCAAATTTGTTCTTTTCTGAATATACAATAATATGATTAATTATACTTACAGTACAAATAATAATACATGTGGTACCTGGTGTTGCCTAGAAAATCATTTAGAAGATTTTTAAAAATAATAGCTTCCTTGGACAGAACAATTTCCATAGAATTAAAAACCACTTTCAACATGAATGGACTACACATTCAAATTTAATGCCTGTAAAAAAATCTCTACCAACTGTGCTCATGAAAATGCAATTTATATTAGTTTCTGACCAACCAATAAGATCTTGATGCTAAATTACCACAGATTTCAATTCATTGCCTGTAAAAGCCCATTGTTTTTCCCAGAGTTGGTTGATATTTATATTGATTTTTATGTAATGAATTCCAATTGGTTATCAGCTAATTAATCAGATTTTGAGGCAAATTGACCAAACTTTCAAGCTCAGTAACCTCAAAAATGCCTAAGTATATGTTTTATGCTTGGTTTGGTAAGCTAAGACAATACAAGACAAGGGTGATCTGCAAAGCAAGTACTTTTAAGGAGTTTCTATGGGAAAATGGCTCCTATTTACATGTTACACGTGAAGAAACCTGGAAACTATGCAGCTAATCCTTTGGTCAGATGTGAACCCAAGACCATTTACCAGCGTTCAATAGTTTTATCCAAGTTCTAGTTCAATTTCAATTAAAATACATTTATCTCAACTTTGACAATTACACTGTAAACATGAATTAGACTCAGGAAAGCACCAGTAAAAATGTTTGACCCAACACAAAATACTATAACTAATGAGTCATTTTCTCATATTATTCTCAATCCCATGGTCAATCTCCTAACAAGTGGCAACATGCATGACTGCATCCCCAACTTCTGCTTCAATTTCCATCTGTGGTCTTAGTGCTCTTCATATCCAAATAAATTCCAATTTGCAGTATACCAGCTTGCCTGATCACCACACAATTCTGGGTTATTGGCTACTTTACAGAGAGGATGCCAGATTATCAGACATTCCAAATTATTGAGTGGTGGATTGACAAACTTCTATAAATTTATAACATGTTTTCTAAATAATTTTATAACCAATAATGCTTACAAAAAAATTTCTTTCAAATACATTAATAAAAGATATAATTTTTCATTTTTCAAAATAAGCATTTTCTTAAAAAGGATACTGACTTCAGTTGTAGTTAACTGATCTCTCAAGAAATCCAAATCACTCTCTAGAAGATCAAGATTTTTAGTTGCAGTTTGAAGATTTTTAGTAAGCAATGCTTCTGCATCATCTAATGAATACTCTAACATTACATTAGCCTAGAAACAAAACAATATGCATTTTAACAAACTTATTTAACTTATTAGAATAACAATCATAAAACTAAACAGTTTACCAAATTTTATCTAGATTTATTTATTTTACAATCATATTTAGTAAAAAATCCACATATGTTCATGAAAATAATAAAATCAAATAATTAATAATTTACCACATTTTTATGCATATAACATACAGTGGCATACACCCTGCAAAAAATTGCTAGAACAAAATACACCTTTGCATAACCAATTCCAATGTATATTCTGTGACCATGGAGCAATGATTGTTCCATAAGCACAAGTCTGTAATTGCAATTTAAAATCAGCAACTAATCTTGCATTATTATAAAATACAGTGATTTTCAACCAGTGTGCTGTGAAAATTTTTGAAGGTTACTACATAAAATATTTTCAAAAGAAGCCTAAAGAACAATAAGCATATATGTTAAAATTAAAACCTCTTTAAATTGATTATACAAGTTTTTCATTGTTATAATAAATAACTGTATATGAAATGTAGTAAAAAATATATATTCATAAGCAAGATTATATATGCATAACCCTGGGTTATTTCATTTAAAATGAAATTTTCTTTAAATCAAAAATATATCTATAAAATTGTCCATATTTAGTTCAAATTATTTTAATTTAGAAATAATGGACATTGAGCAGGTTTCTAAAGGCAATTATCATGCCACTTTTAAATGCAAATTAAGACTTAATGTTAATTGCTTTTCTTATATAAATGAAAATTATTAACTTAAATAACTATTGTTGTAACCTGCTGCTATTTTAAGGAACAACAATATTTTATTTAATTCATAAAAAATATAGACAAAAAGAATTAGGCTTAAGTTGTAGTATGCAAGGTTCCTACTCAAATTTTTGTTTTGAATTCCCTGATTTTCCCTGACCCTCACATTTCTTAGTGTGGAATATCGACATAATAAAACAGCATTTACTGCGAACATCGAGTACATCTATCCCTCTTTTTGCACAGTTGATATGCTTCAAAGACTGCCACATTAAAAAAATATAGTACATACATCCTGTAGAAAAATATTTGATAGAATCCACAACTTCAATGTAATGAAAAAATAAGCAATTTACAAACAAAACACAAGCTTTTTATTTTATCATCATTTATCATTATTATTTGTATGTAAATCTAGTAAATACAAGGTAACATAAAATCAACAAAAATTATTCTTTGATAAACAAATAGTACTGTACTGTGCTTAAAATGAACTCTTGATTTAGAAACACATAATTTTAAAATCAATCTTTCAACAAAAAGAGTAACTTTTTTTTAACCTTTTTACATTACCATCTGTTGCATATCTTAAAAACAGTTATTGCAAATATAATGTTTAAACATGCATTATTATATGGATAGGATAGATAGGGTGTG